CTGCCTCCCAGCCCCGTCCCAGCTCTGCAGGCAGCAGCGGGGCCATGGGCCAGGGCTCCCTGGGAGGACGAGTGGCATGTCCCTGCTCACGGCATTGTCCCCACTCACAGCACTCTCCCTGCTCACAGCACCATCCCTGCTCACAGCTGCACTCCCCAGCACAGCAGCACTCAGCCCTGTCCCTGCTCGGTGTCAGGGCACTGGGGGGGACATGGCTATGCTGGGCTTTTGGGGGGGACCTGCTGCTGCAGCCACATGTAGATTGTGAGGAGAAGAGGCATGTTCAAAGGGGGATGAGTGAGATGTGCTCCAGTCCCACTAGGTGACAGTTTTGGGGGCTGTTAGGAGTGGGGACAGCAGCAGTGGCCAGCGGGAGGATCGCTGCGGCTGCGTTTCCCAATGCTCTGCTGGAATGTGTTGCTTTTGGTGCGATCCCTTCTATTCCCACTGTCTCTCATTAGGTTTGCAAGTAGGCACTATTCTGATTCATATATCTGTAACTGTCCCAGCTGCTGCACGCCACCGCGAATGCTCCCGCGGGGACAGAGCTACGGGCGCTCCTTCACCACCGGCCAGGTACGTTCTGTGGCTCGGGTTCCACAGGGCAGGGATGTGGTGGACATCACTCTGGGCATCCCCTGCCCTGCCTCAGCCTCACCCACCACTCTCCCCAGATCAATGACGAGCTCAACCACCAGTTTGAGGCCGTGTGCGAGTCGGTGTTTGGTGAGGTGGAGTCGCAGGCCGTGGAGGCGCTGGACCTGCCCGGCTGCTTCCGCATGCGGAGCCACAGCTACCTGCGGGCCATCCAGGCAGGCTGCTCCCAGGACGACGACTGTCTCTCACTCTTCTCCATGTCGGCCCCTCCTGGGCCACCCATCACCAGCAGCATCCTGAAGCCCAGCACTTGTGAGTCCTATGGGGTGGTGAGGGTTTGGCCATGTGAGGGAACCCCACATCTCCCTGCCTGCTCACCTGGGCATCTGCCAAGGGCTGCTGCTGCCCTCCTCCTGGCCCTTCACTCCTGTAGTGCCCAGGACAGGGTGTGAGCATCCTGTTTGTCACCCAGTCCCAGGCAGGGGGGTGCTCTGTGTCCCCAGCAGCCATTTGCCATCCCCTCCTTCTGTCCCCATCTATGCCCCTTACTGGGTGCTGCAGCAATGTGGCCAGGGCGGGTCTGGGGTGCTTTCCAATCCCAAAAACTGGTCCAACAGTCCCCCTGAACTCTGGCCCATATCTAACCCAGCTTAGGGGCAAACCCTGTGGGGCCATGATCCCCATGCTGTGGGAGGAGATGGGGAATTCCCCGGGGCCCCTGTTCGTGGCGGGAAATGAACAAATGTCTGTGTTTTCACGTGCCTTTTCATCCTGCCTTCATCCACAACAGCCTTCAGTTACAGAAAAGCTCCACCTCCCATCCCTCCAGGAACCAAAGCCAAACCTCTCATCTCCGTCACGGCGCAGAGCAGCACCGAGTCCACCCATGAGAGTTACCTGCCCAGCGAGGTCGCCCGCAGCCCCGCCTGGTCCAAAGATGCCGCGGCCCGCTGCAACTCTGCCGAGAGCCTGGAGAGCTCCAAGGTGACGGCTGTGGCCCTGGACCTGCCCCCAGTCCAGCCCCGTGCCGCTCCCAAGCCCTCCACCCTCATCATCAAGGCCATCCCAGGCCGGGAGGAGCTGCGGAGTTTGGCTCGCCAGAGGAAGTGGCGTCCGTCCATCGGCGTGCAGGTGGGCTCTGCTCCTCCCTGCGGGCTGCCCCGGTGGTGTGGGCTGTGCTGAGCTGCCACGCTGTGTTTTGGGGGTTCCCTCCAACGCTCTCTCTCTGCCCCTCGGCAGGTTGAGGCCGTCTCTGACTCGGATACGGAGAGCCGGAGCCAGAGGGAGTTCCACTCCATCGGGGTGCAGGTGGAGGAGGACAAAAGGTACCACACTTCCTGCACTGAGGCATTGGGTTCCTGAGGGCTTCCTGCACACCACCACCACGTCACAGCATCTTCTCCCTCTCCTCTCTGGCTGAAACCCCAGAGCTCAGCACCATCCCCATCCCAGGCTAGCTGCCCCCACCTGGAGCAGGATTTGGCCTTTCCTTTGTCCTCTCTGCTGCCCAGAGAAGGTTCTGCCCTATTCCTGCCCTATTCCTGTCTCCTCTGCTGGGCTCAGCCCCTAGCTTTGAGCCCACGCCAGGTGCAGATGAACCTTTGGGCATTTCTGTAGCTAACCATGACATTTTGGCTGGGATGGGAAGGCCAGGTGTGTAAGAACCTGCATGGCCTGCGGGAGGGGAGCTCTGGCATGGTGCCCATGCAGCCTGGTGCTCCTCTCCATCCCTGGTCCAGCACTGGTAGCCATGGAAACAGGCTGAGAGCAGAGGAGATGAGGGACTGGCAGATCGCAGCTGCTCAGGGTTGTGCCTGTGGCCTTGAATGCTCTGGGATCCACCTCGGCATTCCCAGCCCCATCCTACCCATGGGTGTCCCTCACCCTGCCCCTGCCACTGTCATGCCTGACAGGGGGGATTTATTAAAAAAATATGGATGTTGATCTAGTACTGATATCCTACTGTGATGGACAAAAGCTCTCTAACACTTTAGAGTTAGAAAGTGTGTGTTTATTGTGGGATAGCTCCCAAATACACACCACAATTTACACGTGATTGCAGAGTCCTTTTATCTATGCAAGTATTGAATACCCAAAATACAAATACATATTCATAACTTTGGTATATCCTCTTCCCTGCTTTGTATGGTAATTAGTTCAAAAGCTTTTAACCATGCATAGTTTGTTCCTTGAAATGAGTCGCTGGTCCTTTTCATAGGAAGGGGTCCCAAAATGAGGAAGTAAATGAAGTCTTCCTCATTCTGACCTTTCTACCTTTTGAATGCAAATATGACAAATGAACCCTTGGTAGGACTCGCATTTCCCATCTTCAATTGGTTTCAGAACAGAGGAGGCCACAATTGTCTTATGTTCCTAAAAGCTATTTATTAATTTCTATATTCTTCATCATAAACCCAGCTAACCAAACATTGTGCTGGCAAGCAATCAATTATCAGTTAACTACCAACTCTTAACTTCATCAGGGCTTACCCATTTGTTTTAATCAACTCAAATGAAGTCTTAGCTCCTCTAAAACCTCTAAAATCCTTAAAGTTTATGTCTCAAGGGGATGGGACAGTGAGGGACTGGCAGTGAAGGTCCCCACACTCTCCCTGTCTCGTCTTCAAGCGCTCCAACAGCATCACAGTGACTACAAACTCTTAACTTCACCAGGGCTTACCCATTTATTTTAATCAACTCCAATAAAATCTTAGCTCCTCTAAAACCTCTAAATTC